GAAAAAAGGGGGAGAAGGAAGAAAGAGGTGGGAGGCCTCGCCAAGAAAGAACAGGGAAGCAGGGATCAGGAAGGCTGACAACGGATGTGTGAGGAGCAGCTGGGCCTGGTGACAATGAGACATCAGGTCCCAGGATTCACGAGGGTGATACCAAGATCCCAGGCTAAGAAGACGGAACATGGGGTACTTCCAAACCGCAGTGGGGAAGTTGGTCACAGGGGAGGGCTCTAAGAGGGGAAATATGCCTGTCGTGTTGAATTTAAGACCAGGGTGAAAACCCAAGTGCGACCAGCAATCATGGCCTTCACATCACAGAAGACGCCTGGCCAGAGGTGCCCTGAGCTGTGATGGGCTAAGAGGGTAATCACTGATAGAGTTAGATGTGAAAGCCTGATTCCTGCCTCTCCTTGCCCTGCAAAGAGCTCTGTGGTGCAGATGTCTGCCCTCACCCCTACTGTGGCTGTCCCACCAAGTCTGGTCACTAAAAGGGGGGAGCGTGGGGAAGCGTGGGAGATCTGGGAGCTGATCAGGAACTTCCTTCAAAGGGCAGTGAGGCTGCAGGGAACAGGGAGCGGCAGCGCTCCCCGCCCCACCAACTTTAGATCTAGGAGGAAAAATTGGTCATCTCTCTTTGGGGCTCCATGCTCACACAAATGCCATCTCCAGGTCCCCAGCCACATTGGTGATTCAGGCCATTTACTCAGATCCATGTTAATGAGTTTTTTTCTGTCACCTAATTAGTTCACAATGAACTCAGCCTTGAGAGAAAAGAGAGGAGAGAGGGGTGGAGAAGGACAGAAGGAAATCGGACTGGGATGTCACAACAAAAGGGCAAGACCCCATCTCCAATGGGGTTCTCTACTCCCCAAAAGACCTGATGCTTCTTCCCCAGCTATGAGGACCTTCTAAAGCAGAAAGGGGGTGGTCAGGTGAAGGAGCCCCCAGAGCCTCACACAAGGAGATGAAGGCGGGAGTGAGGGCCTAACTGCGGCCCAAGAGGAGGACAGGTCCCTGCTAACAATTCCATGTCATCAGCAAGAAGCCTTGCACTCTCCCTGCATTTCCACTCAGGCCAAACCCACCACCTGCTGGTGGGCGTCCCTCTTCAAATGGAACTGGAGGAGGAAGCAGATGGCTCAGGGCGAGGCCCATCTGCCCACTGGGCACTCAAAGGTCACCATGCCACTGGGGTGCCTGCGGGTGGTGCTGGCCCTCACACCAGGGGGTCGTGGAGCTTCTGCCTGCAGCGTGCACCCACTTCCTCCGCCCCTAGATAGCTAAAGTCCAGGGTCCAAGAGCCTAGAAAAAGGAGCGAAGAGAAGAGCAGTGGCTAGGGGTTCTGGTACCTGACGCCCCGCGCCATGTCCCTGGAAAGCAGCGGCGGGTGCCCGGCGCAGGCGCGGATGGACCGGCCGGCGCCTCCCACGCGGTCGCTGCGCGGTAGCCCCTTGCCAGGCCCGGCCCGCCCGGCCTCGGCAGCATGCGAGATGTGCGTCGGGAGAGGGCGCCGCGGAGAGCGCCACCCTTCGGGGCCCTCGGGCGCTGGGCCCGGGAAAGCTGCCATCCACTAACGGGAGGCTCCGATCCCCGCCCTGCCGCGGGGCACAGCCCTGGCAGCAGCTGAGACGCCTCTCGGGCAGCGGCCCCACCTCCCGGCCCGCCGAGGCCCTCCGCCGCGCCCACCCTCCCCGGCCACGCCTGACCAGATCTGGCTCAGCCCCCCGCCCCCCGCCGCACCTCTGCGGCTCTGAGCGCACCCGTCCCCAGAGCGACACCACCCTCGAACCCTGGAGCACTAAGAACAGAAAATGTGTCCCCTGGCGCGAGACTGGCTCTCAGCCCCAAAGTGTCCCCAGACGAGATATGGCGAAGCCTGGACGCCGGCTCTGCAGTGCCTGGCGTTCAGCACCCCGCGTGGCCCGGACCTCGGGCGCGCGAGGACCCCCGAAGGGGACAGCGTAGTAGGCCGGGCCCGCAGAGCCCCCGGAGCCACCGCGCCCCGGCTCCACTCACCCTCGATGGAGATGACGTGCTCCCGGATCTGGTTCTGCAAAGCCAAGTCCTCGATGCGCTCGATCAGGTCGTAGATGGCGTAGATATTGGGATGCACGGACTCGAAGCGCTGGATCTCGGCCCGGATGGCCGCCGAGTTGGAGAGCGCGAACTGCTGGGGGGGCCCGCCAGCCAGCTGCTGCGAGGGGCCACCGCCGCCCCCGGCCCCCGGCCCCGCGCCGCCGAACTGCCCG